GAGGAGGAGGAGGAGGAGGAGGAGGAGGAGGACGAGGACGAGGACGCCCTGGAGCTGGAGGCGCTGCAGGCCCGGCCTTCCTCCGCCTTCCCGCCGCCCTCCTCCTCTCCCTCCGTCTCCGAGCTACTGCTGCCGCTGCTGTCCCCGCTGCTGCTGCCGCTGCTCTCCGACTCCTCGGCCCCGTCCTGCTCGGCCTGGCCCTTGTCCGGGCTCTCGGGGCCCCTGGAGTCCTCAAACTGCAGCCCCGGCCCGGGCTCTGGGGGCAGCTCGCTGTCCAGGGCCTTGGGTCGCCCGGGCTTGGGCTCGCCGCCGCCACCCGCGGCCGGGGGGAAGGCGCCCAGCCCCGGAAGGCCCTTGGGCTCCTGCCAGCCCCCGACGGCCGCGTCCTCGCGAAGCAGCAGGGCCTCCTTGGCCTTCTTGCTCTTGGGCGACATCACGCCCTCGTGGTCCAGTTTGACGAGCAGCTCCGCCTCCTCCCCGGGCCTCCTCGGGCCCTTGGCGCCCGGCTCCTCGGCTGCCCGGGCCTTCTTGGGTTTGGGGCGGGTGGCGGGCATGGTGAGGGGCATGGCCGCGAGCGGCGCCGGGACCACGGCTGCGGGGGGCGCAGGCACCTCCCCAAAGGGCTCCGGCGCTGGGCAGGTGGCAAAGCTGGGGGGCACGGGGCTGGGCTGGGGAGGTGACGGGCGGGCCTTGGGGGCTTTGGGCCGCTTCTCCATGGGCTCCGGGGGGCTCTTCTTGGAATTTGGGGTGCTGATGGGCTCCAGGGCCAAGGGAGTGCTAGGGACCTCATCTGTGGGGGGCCCCTCCTCCAGGACAGCAGCTTGGTCTGGAAAAGAGAAGAAAACGTAGCAGGGGCTGCTGCCAGGGGCTCCCCATCTGTGCCAGCTCTGCCGACTCCTGTGTGGGACTGGGGGTGGGGTGCAGCACCCCACCTCAGGAAGACTGTGAGCATCTCATCACAAGCACCCAAAGGCCTGTGGACCCAACGCCGCCCTCTGGTGGCCGCAGCTTTCAAGTCTAACCCCCCCCCCCCCCCCCCCCCCGGTGCCGGGGCAAGACACAGCTTGGTGAAGTGGGAACCTCCCTTCTGCCCCTCACCTACAGCAACCCTCCACAAACCAACTCCCCTCCCAGGGCCTCAGTTTCCCGATCTGTCCACTGACAAGACAGAAGCGGTCACCTGGGAGGAGACCCGGGCCCAGGTGGCCCCCGCCCCACGTACCACCCTTGGCCTTGGCGCTGGGCTTCCGGCCACGGCCTCTGGCTTTTGCTCCGGGCTCCTCCGCCCCTGCCGTGCCGCCGTCTCTGCCTTCCCCAATGTCTTTGCTGGTTTTTCGGACGCGGCGCTTGGCACTCGGCACCAGGAGGGCCGGGGACGGCTCCGCACCTGAAGGGCACAGCAGAGGCTCAGGCCAGGGCCTGGCAGCAGGGCTCCTGCCCGTGTTCCACGGGGGGCACAGCTTTGGCAGGGTGATGGGATGGAACGGGTCGCTGACCCCCCCCAGAAGTCTGTGAGGTCAGGGGTGGTGGCCATGTCTACAGGGCTGTGGTTCAGAGCTGTGCGCTCACACAAGATGCCTGAACAGCACTCTAGGACAGTAAGGGGCAAGGACCCACACCAGCGGCCCCTGTGGTTCTCACGGCTCTACTGGAAAGCACTCACATCTTCTGGTGGTACCAGACGCTGGGCAGTCCCAGGCCCCACCTGCTCTGCCCCTCACACATATGGGGCCCTGCTAAGTCACGTCTGCCCCCCGAGCCCGTCAGTCAGGGAACGGGAGCCCCAGCCACACAGGACGCAGGCAGGAACTCAAGTCTCTGTGGACAGACGGGCCTGGAGCTAACAGTGGTCAGTCAGCCTCTGGTGCACCCGGGACAAGCCACGCGGGGAGCTTCACACATGGAACAGAAGAGGGTCCAGGCCTCCCTCACCCGTGGTTTCCGCCATGTCTCTCTCTGGTGGGTGAAAGGGTAGGGCCCGGGGCGGCACCCCAGGGGCTCCAGAGCCTGAAGCCCCAGCTCAGAGCTGGGCAGGGGGAGCTGGCCGGCAGGGGGAGCTGGCCAGCAGGGGTCCCAGGGGGAACGGGCACGACACTCACACTGGATCTTGTAGTCGGGAGGCAGGAGGCGGATGTGTGACAGGGGGATCCTCCCAGTGTCCCCATCATCGAACTCCACGGTGATGAGGTCCCCGTCGTCCTCGAGGTCCAGTAACCCTGACGGGGGAGGAGCAGGATGAGGGGCCCTGGCCCTCTGGCTGCCGGCTGAGGCAGGAGGGTGGGGGGTGGAAGTAACTGGTCCCTAAGCAGCCTCGAAGGTCCCTTTGAGTTACGCTCAATTTCCAGCCTCAAGGTTGGCAGTTCAAACCCCCGGGGGCACTGCAGAGAAAGCCGGTGACATGCTTCTGTAAAGATGCCAGCCAAGGACACCCTACAGAGGAGCTCAACTCAGACACACGGAATCGCCGTGAGCGGGAACTGACTCAGTGGCAGCGGGTTTTCACGCAGCCTTGATCTTGACACCCATGGCGGGTACACAGTGGTGCATCATGTGAGCTTCAGAGTGAGCTCGACCAACACGCATGTTACAGGGCGTGTGTCCTGGACTTCCTGCTCCACCTGGCAGCTGCCATCGGTCCTGCCAACCGAGCTCCCAAGGTCAACAAAGTAACAGTAAAGGGGGCAAAAGGGGCTTAGACCCCAAAGACAGGTGAGCGGTGGCAGTGCTGGAAGATGACTGCAGTGGACGGAGGCCACGGGCTCTGTCCCAGCGTCCCCTGCTCTGCTTGGAGGAGACACCAATGAGAAGGCACCTGTAGGGGTTGAGGGAGGGGCGGGGGCAATAGTGACCAAACTGATAGTCATGAAACCGGCACATGCTGCAAGGTGACTGCTGGAGAGCAGCTCTGGATGGAAGGCTATTAGGTGCATGTGAGGAGGGTGGGACAGGTGAGGGACGGGGAGGAGGGTGTAAAGGAGGGACAGGGGGATAGTGGGAGGCCCCCCTTCCAAACCAAGGACAACAGAGACCTCTGCATCCTGCATGGTGACACCCAACCCCTTCCTCAAAGGCCAATGTCAACCCTGCAGCCCCAGAGACAGAGAAGTTGGGGACTCTTGCTGCCAAAAGGGAAGGAAGGTCCCTGAGTGGCACAGTTTGCACTCAGCTGCTAATCTCAAGGTTGGCGGTTCGAACCCACCCAGAGACGCCATGGAAGGAAGTCCTGGCAACCTGCTTCCATAGAAGACGACAGCCAAGGAAACCCCTGCAGCAGCTCTCCTCCGTAACCGCGGGCTGCCGGGAGTCGGAACCAGCAGCAACGGGAAAGGAGGAGCCCTACAGACGCTGGCACTGAGGAGTCCCCCAACAAAAGGTTCCGTCTGCTGAGTCACCAGGCCCCCAACAAAAGGTTCCGTCTGCTCAGGGTCACCAGGCCCATGGTGAACAATCTCCAACACTCTTGTTAACATCTCTCTGCTAAGGGCAGCCAGAGACTGAAGAACCACCTCTACTGAAAGAAAGAACCGAAAATGGGTGAGAACGCACCCGCGGCAGAGATAACACAGGGAGCTTAAGAAAAGTAACAGAAAAGATGTGTCATCTGAAGAAAATGCTGTAAAGACAATGCATCAGCTTGAAGAGATATCCAGAGAACAGGAACAGACTCTGGGATATTCTAAAGGATGGCAGAAGCTTTGAAAATGGAATAGAAGGACAAGAAGATTCCAGAAGGCTGAATAAAAAAGATAAAGGAAGAAGCAGTTAAGAGAACAAAAGATACAAAGGCTGAGGAGTCAATTCAGGAGGGTCACCAGACTCTTAAGAATTCCAGGGAAAATACATAAAATAAGGTGAGGAAACTTACCAAAGAGATAATACATAACACCTGTGACAGCTGGAACTTGTGGAAGGCAGAAACCCACCTGGGAAGGAAACTCAACTATTTCCCACTAACACAGAGCAATGGGAAAATGGTAAGACTGTACCCTGGTAATGGTGGAAAATGTGCAAGACCCAGAAAGCAAGGCAGGCTCCTCCACTGGACAAGAAAAGATTCCAGGACTAAAGGACATTTGTTTCAAAATCAAAGCCCATCACCTAACCCTGTGGCTCAACTTTGAGCCAAACAATAGACCGGTCTATAAGATGAACACCACTGGAGGTACTCACGCTTGAGACCAACCAACCACACCAGGGAAGAGACAAGGGCAGGATGCAGGGAAATGATAAACACAGGGAAGAAGTGGAAAAGAGCTGTTACACTGTGAGGATTGCAGTCACCTTCACAGAACAACCTGTGTGTGAATCACCAAATGGAAAACCAATTTGCCCTGTAAACTTTCACCCAAATCACGATAAAAAGTTAAAAAACCCAAGTCTTCCACCCCTGAGGATCCAGCATGATGAAAACGTACACACATGCAGAAAAATCACATGAAACTCTAGATCAAGGGACAATGACAAGATCCTAGAAGTTTCTAGAGAGAAAAAGACAGATGTCCTACAAAGATTTGGGAAGAACAAAGGCATGGAGGTTCTCAGACAACATTGAAAGTGAGATAAAAATCGGACAATAATTCTGAAACGTGTTATTTGCAACCTAGAATTTATACCCAGCTCGACTATCACTGCGTTTAACACTACGCAGAGATTCAGACACTCAGTACTCAGAAACTTCCCTCCTATAGACTGTTTCTCAGAAAGCTACTCAAAAATCCTTTATTGAAATGAAGGAATACACCAAGAAAGAGAAACACATGAGATTCAACAAAGAAGGGCAGCAAATGGGATCATCAGAAGGGTGGATTTCTCTCTGGGAAGTCCCAAAAGTGACAGCTGTATGATGACAAAACAACTAGTCCATCATGGCACAGGGGGACAGCAGGCCCCAGGAGACAAGAACCCAAGACAGACTGTTACTGCAACAAGAGGACTCAGAATTTTAGGAAGAGTTTGATGGTCAATCAGTGACTATTCCTTGCCTGATATCCTGTGTCAGATACACCTGAGACCCTGTTAGACATCTGTTGCTTTCCCTGCCAGTATGTCTTTTCCTGAGGAGCCCTGGTGGCACAGAAGTTAAGTCCTCGTGCTCAGCTGCTAACCAGAAGGTCACTGGTTCAAACCCATCAGCGGCTCCACAGGACAGAGACCTGGCGATCTGCTCCCATGAAGACTGCAGCCTAGGAAATCCTAGGGTTTCTTACCTTGTCCTATTGGGTAGCTGTGAATCAGAATCAGTATAAATTGTATGAAATCTAAACACAGAGCAAGTAGTTCCGAAGGAAGTTCAGGGTCAGAGATTGATGGACTCCGAGTGTAAAACAGGAACTCTGTGCCACAGGGGTCAAAGCATTTGGCTGCTAGCCTTTTGGTTGGCGGTTCGAACCCACAAGCCACTCTGAGGCAATGTGTTTCTGTAAAGACTTACAGCCTTGGAAACCCTCTGGGGCAGTTCTCTTCTGTCCTAGGATCGATATGAGTTGGAATCAACCAGATGGCCATAGGTTTATATCTATAGACGTAATCCCACATGAATATAGGGCTTAATCTGTTATGTTAATGAGGCCGGGTCATGCCAAGTATGTCTTAAACCTAAAGATTTCTGACATATGAGCACACAAACACACACACACACACACAGACAGACAAGCACAAACCAGGGAAAGGCAGATGTGTCAGGGGGATCACCAAGACACTGAGAAACACCAAGGAGCTGAAAGCCTGGACACACAGCGAGCCTTCCCCTGAATTCAGACTCACAGCGTCCTAAATTACGAGAAAATAAACTCCTGTTTGTTAAAGTCCCCCCTTTGGGGTATTTCTGTCACAGCAGCACTAGGAGACTGAGACTGGCCATCAGAGTCAAGTTCTGGTCACCAAACAAAGCCACAGCAGTATGTTAGAGGACAAGGACACCCCGGGCAGGGCCAGCTCACCTCGGACCACAGTGCCTGGGTAGAGGCACCGGTACTGCTGACTCCAGTATGCAGCGATCCTGGTCCCCTGGGGCAGGAAGCGTGTGGAGGCCGGCCTCACGTCAATGATCTGAGGAGAGTGTGCCGTATGAGAGCCAGGCGGTGCCTCAGGCAGGAACTAAGTCACAGCCTCAGCCTCTGACCCACCCCACCAACCCCGGGCCCTGCCACCCCTTACCGCCTCCTGCAGCAGCTGCTCCAGGCAGTAGATGTGGGGTCTGTTCCCACGCTCCCCTTCTACCACCACACGGTATCTGCAAGGCCAGGTTCAAGGTGGGTACAGTGGCAGGGGCCCAAGACCCCCCAGCGGGAGCGTTCCCCAGGCCCACCACTACCAGCTCTCTCCCACACAGCACTGGGTCCAGAAATCAGACTTTAAAAGCTGGATAACTTGCTGTAGAAAATGGGAGCCAAGCACCCCCCTTTTGGGGCCTCATCTCCTCATCTGTGTCTCTAGGAGTGGAGGGTAAGATGGAGTCCCTGTGTGATGTTACTGGTTCATGCACTTGGCTGCTAACTGGAAGACTGAAGGGTCGAGTCCACCCAGAGGCAGTTGGAAGAAAGGTTTGGTGACCTACTTCCACAAATGTCACTGGAAACTGTGTGGCACACAGTTCCACTCTGACCCACAAGGGGACGATGGACATGGAAGCCGGCTCCATGGCCTCTGGCTTCTGGAGGCCCTGGGTGGTGCAAATAACTAATGCACTTGTCACCAAAAGGCTGGAGGTGCAAGTCCACCCTGAGGGCCCTTGGAAGAAAGGACTGGCAATCAACTTCCAAAAAAATCGGCCCCCGACGATCACACGCACCACAGGTCTACTGTGACACACATGGGGTTGCTGAGTCAGAAATGACTGTAACTGGAGGTGGCAGAGGGTGAGCCGGAGCTGGCCAAGCCAGATCCCGCCCCATTCCATAGTGACCCGCTAGCAGCCCACACCTGGAGCCCCACCAAGTGTTTCTCCTCCCAGTCTCGCAGGAGCCTGGCCTGGCCCTCATCAGTCCCACCTGATGAAGGGGAGCCAAGGCCGGCAGCAGGAGGCAGCCCGCCCTCAGGCACCGCACGGCCCTGGGGCAGGCGCGGGTGGGTCCCCCATGCTGATCTGGCACTCACATGTCCGGTGAGTGCACAGTCTGCACGTGTCCGGCGTACAGCAGCTTGTCGTCCATGGGGATGAGCACGCGTAGCCCGTCCCTGAGCTCGTCCTTGTCGATGACACAGGAGCGAGGGGCTGCATGCAGGACGGGGCGGTGAGGTGGGGTGGGGTGGAGTGGGGTGGCCCTCCTCCCAGGCCTCCCTGGCCCCCGTCACAGCCTATGGACCGGTGCACACCTCTGGTGTGTGTACCTCCCTCTACCCACTGCCCGGCCCTACGTGTCTCAAAAGACCCAAGGCACGAGGAATGCTCCATCCCAAAGACTCACTCCCCTGTGCCAGACCGGAAGCTCTGGGTCACCAACCCGCCCACCCCAACTCAGGACCCTCTCCCTTCTAGGCCCACCCACCCTTTGCTGCGGCTGACTATGGCCACGCCCAGGGCCTCAGACCACCCGGAGCACCTTCCTCACTCCCTCAGCCAGACCCCTGAACGGCTGTCAGCACCCCCCATGCCTGCTATCTCCTCCCTTGCTCGTCCCTCAGCCCAAGTCTACCCCCTTGTGCCCACACCCGGCTCTCACCGAGGACACCAAGGGGGTCATCGGAACGAAGGCCATCATGTAGTCCCTGCTCACCTACTTCTCACTACTTTCAATGCTGTGGGCCACTCTCTCTTAAAGCACCTCTTCTTTGGACCCCTGCACACATACCCTCTGCTATGGGCTGAATCGTGTCCCCAAACACATGTATGTTGAAGTCCTAGCCCTTGGTGCCTGTGAACATGGCTTTGTTTGGAAACAGGGTCTTTAAACACATTATCTCTTAACGTGAAGTCATCCCACTGGAGTAGGTGAGCCCTAAGCCTAATCCCTTCTAAGAGATGTCTTATAAAAGGAGGGACACCATGAAAAGCGGCTTCCTTTGCCAGGAGACATGAAGAACTGGATGGTGCCTGCTACCGTTACTGAAGGTTTGGGTGAATGATGCTACAAAAGAATGAAGATCAAAAGGGGGGAGAAATGCGGAACAGAATTTCAAATCCTCATAGAACTCAGACTTTCTGGAGCCACTGAGGCTGGATGAAACCCCCCAAAACTACTGCCCTGAGATAATCTTTAATCTGAAACTAAAAACAGCCCCAGAAATCTTTAAACCAACCGATAGTTTAGTTTATTAAGAAGATCTGCCTTGAGCTGTGCTTTGTAAAAGAACTACCTAGGTGAGATCAAAGTGACTAGAGCAACACAAAAGGTCAGACAGGAACCGTAGGAGGCAGTGAACTCATGTTAATGGGGCAGGAACGAGTCGGAAAAGGAGGACAAAAACGGCTGAACAACTCAAAGGATGGACCAACATCATGGAATGGTACGTGGCTGAACCATGTAGATTCTCAACTTGTATGTTCTGCTCTGTATATTCGCCACAGTATCAAAAGAGTAAAATAATTTGCATCATAGTGTGAGGATGACGCCCAACGAACCCACTGGCCCCAGGAGGATGTGTGAGCTGTGAGGCCGTGCCAACCAGCCCAGATCAGGCCGTCCTCAGCCTGCCGATTGTATAGGGGTCAGCCCAGCCCAAAGCATGCCTGCTGCTTGTGAGATGTGGTGGCTGTTTGTTACGCAGCCATAGCTGACTGATACACCTCCTGCCAGGTGACAAAATGCCTCAGAGATGGCCCCGCTCCTCCTCTCACTCCAAGATCCCTGCATGAATGGGAACGTCCACCACCCCATTGCCGTGGTCAATGACCACTGCCGCCCTGACACTCCCCAGTTCACATACCATCTCTCCTGCACCTCCAGAACCCCACATCCAAGCACCTCAACATCGCTCCCACAGGATATCCTCTAACACCCCACACCCTGGGCGTCACGGTCCAGCACACAACCTCCTGTGACCGCAGACTCAAAGGCACCCACTCTCCCTTCACACCTAGCCAGGCTGGGGACCTGCCACCACCAGCTGCCACCCTGTTCTCTCTCTCATCTGTTCAAAGAACCCACCACCATGTCCCAACCTCCCTCCTAATGGACTCAAACTCACCCCTGGACTGTGTCCCCAAAACAGACTGAAATTCTGGCTGAACACTGCAACAGTTTAACCATGAGATGAATGAAATCAGTTGGCCTTGGGAGACCAAAACATCCCCTACCCTGCAATCTAACGTAATGACCATACGTCCAATGAGACGTGATGTAAACACCTTCCATAATGCTGTAGTGTGTAATCAACCAATCAGATCCGAGCTCATGCCAGTGCAGGCTGGGTCCTAAACCTTATCACTTCTGAGATTAGACACACAGACACATGGAGCCACGTGAGGATCAATCGTCTCTAAGCCAAGGAACCAAGAACACCTGGGGCTACCAACAAGGAAGGAATTGACAAGGACGGAATCGACAAGGAAGGAATCGACAAGGGAGGAACGGACACAGCTGGGACCCCGATTTGGACTCTGAGCCTCCAGAACTGTGAGAAAATTAATTCCTGCTCTAAAAAGCTCCCCACTGTGGCGTCTGTGTGATGGCAGCTCGAGGACACCAAGGCACCCTTTGTCTGCACCCTTGCTGCAGCCACAGCTGCCTTCACACTGGACTCCCACCTGCCCTCAGGGCCCCGACAGTTCACACTGTAGCACAGCCCAAGGGATCATTTCAAAGCCAAACCATGCCACCCAAATCACAACAAGTTAAAAGAAAAATCCAATGACACCATTCCCCCATATACAACTCTCGACAGACAGCTTGTTTTTCTTTAGACAAATATTGAACTCCTCACCCCAAGGTCCACGAGACTGGGCAACCCTCCTTCTGCCTCCTCCCCAGCCCCCAGGCTGTGCTCTCACCCCCTAAGCCACAGCCAAACTGCCTTTGCTTCAGTTTATCTCCGGGGCCACATTCCTGCCTACCCCAGGGCCTTTGCACATGCTGCTCCTTCGTCCCCGGGCCTCCGTCAGCTCCCCTTCTACTCGTCTCAGGTCTTGTCTCAGGTCCAGCTGGCCCAGGGCAGCCTCCTGCCTCCCCCACAGTCCATGCCTGGCAGTCCCTGGCCCAGTCCCTGGCACTCACCTGGCGTCAGTGGCCGCTCCAGGGCCCCGCCACGTGGCAGGTGCTCGTCTTCCGAGAAGCTCGAGTCCTGGTTGGGCTCAAAGTCCTCCTCGGCAGCCATGCTCTCCATGAGCTTGCTCACGGCTCCCCCCTTCCCACGGTTCTGTGACAGAGCACAGCAGACCCCAGCCTGGAGGAGGGCCCGTCATCCCACGGGGCTGGGGGATTCCAGGCAGGCCACTGGGGCATCCAGCAGGTACATGGGGGGCACTTTACCCCGGAGGCCATGCCTGGGACCCTCCCCCAGGCCGGAGCTCAAGGGTGTGCTGAAGTGAACATCCCGCAGCCACCTCAGGGTCCCCTCGAGGAAACACGGGCAGCCCCGAGGCAGGGAAGGAGGGAGCCTGGCCTGTAAGGGGGCCAACTGGCATGAGGGGTGGGCGTCATCAGGTATGCTCCACCTGTCACATGGGCAAAGGAATTCACCCAAGCCTGGGAGCACGGGGGGACCCTCACCCAGATGTCACGTGGGGGGTCATCGGCCCCTCTCATTCTGGGGCCAGGGGCCAGGTCCTACTTATCATCCAAGACCCAGCCATGTCCCTTTGCCTCTGGGATCGCCAATGTTGCGAGGGTCCAAACAAAAACCCCTTACCACCAATGGGACCCCACTCGACCCCAGGAACACAAGGGGGTATGGCATGGTGGACACGACACTGTACCCTAACACCTGGGCCTCTCCCACCCAAAGCGGGGGGGAACCCTCACCTCTTTTTTCACCTCTTTCCCCTTGGCCTTGGCTTTGCTTCTCTTGGTGGTGGCCAGGGAGCTGGTGTGGGGGGCGCGGGCCTCAGAAGGCAGGGCGGGCGTGCGGGGCGGTGGCAGGGCGGCTGTCGACCCTGTCTCCTTCCCCTTCTTCTTCTGCAGGAAGAAAAACAAAGCGGTGGTCAGATGCCCCCTGTCTGCAGAGGGGGTCCCCACCCCCTCCCAGTCCCTACTCCCTGCACCCACCACTCACCCTCCTTCCAACACCACGCAACACCCAAGAGTTCACTGCCGACAGAGGACTCCCTCACCCTTTCTCCTCGCAAATTTGTTTTTAGCTGTTTTATTATCATGCTGTATTGCTGGTGGGCACGTCTCCCGCATAAACAGAAAACCAAACGCACTGCCGTCGAGTCAATCCAACTTCGACCTTATGGGACAGAGTAGAGCTGCCCCATAGGATTTCCTAGGCTGAAATCCTCATGACAGCTCACCGGGCCTTTCCTCCTCCGGAACTGCTGGGGGTTCAAACCGCCAACCTTCTCATCAGCACCAAGGTGCCACCAGGGCAGCTCACCCGGTATTACTCGTTGATAAACACACACACTGGATTGTAAGGAGCTCTGGAGGCACCGTGGTTAAGGTATTTGGCTACTAACCAAAAGGTTGGTGGTTCAAACCCACCAGTTGTTCCACAGGGAAAGATGAGGCTGTCTGCTTCTGTAAAGATTTATAGCCTTGGAAATGCAACTGGGGTGTCGCTGTGAGTTGAACTCGACCCGATGGCAGGGGATTTGGTTTTGGTTTTTCAAACTGAATAGTACACAAAGCTGTGCAAGTTCCTCTCTAACCATCCTCCCAACCACCTCTGGCAACAGCTTGCCTCATCCTTCCAGAACCTTCCACACACACATACACACACCCATGTAGATATGAATGTGTGCAGCACTAAGGAGCCTTGGTGGTGCAGTGGTTTAGTGCCTGGCTGCTGAGGGAAAAGTCGAAAGTCCAAACCTGCCAGCAGCTCTGCGGGGGCTACATGCCTGACTGCTGGCCGAAAGGCTGGCGGCGTGAACCCACCCCAGGGCGCCTCTGAGAACAGGTCACAGCCTTGAAGACGCCGTGGAGTCCTACTGTACTCTCGCGGGGTCGCCCCAAGTCGGACGCGGCTCCACGGTGGCTGGAGGCAGCTCATGTCTATTCTCCAACAGCTAGCTGCCCCGTGTGCCGTGCCTCGGAGGGTCCCCCAACTGTTCACGCTTCCGAATGGTGCCACAGAAACAGGACATTACTGGCTGGTGCTACATACTAGTTCCTTGAAGCGTGTTTAAGACCATGTGGCTGTGGCCTCTGGGCGGCTCCAGATGTGCCCATTCCCACCTGCCCGGCACACTCCTCCTCTCCTCGGTCGCCCCGGTGCGCCGAGACGAGGCTCCGCCCCACTGCAGGGGGCTGCCCTGCCCCACAGGGTTTCCTAGGCTGTGTCTTTCAGGAGCTGAGCACCAGGCCTTTCTCCAGCAGAGTGGTTGGTGGTTCCGACTGCTGACCTCTCAGTTAGCAGATGAGTGCTCAACCACTGTGCCACCAGGACTCTCTGTGCTTCTGTTAAGGGTCTGACATAATGTGGGCAGAGAACGGTGATGGGGGAACAACACAGTGAGAGGATTCACATCACTGAACTGTCCAGAACCCTGGTGGCATAGAGGGAAAGCACCCTGCTGGTAACTAACAGGTCGGTGGTTCGAACCCACCAGCCGCTCCGTGGGATAAAGATGAGGCCGTCTGCTTCGGGAAAGATGTCCAGCCTCGGGAACCCTATGGGGTCAGTGTGAGCCGGCGTGGAAGCCATGGCCGTGGGTTGGGTTAAGGAGTAATCAGGGATGAGTAGGAGACACTCTCACGGGGAGAGCGGACTGCGTTATCAGAGCCCCCAAACTGGAAATAACCTAAAAGCCAGCCACCTGCTGGGGAAACACAGGCCATCTGCACACACAATCACCCGCTCACACTACAGCCGCCCACAGCACGGGAAAAGGCAAGGATGACAGCGGGGGAAAAAGCAGGACCCCAAAACTAGTCAGCAGAACCCAGAGACTCGGAGTCAAGAGGAATGTAACTCCACGCATTTCAAAGAGGCCTGTCTAACACAGAAGGACCAAGAACAGGGGCCGGGGGAGGCTGAAAATGTCGTACTGTTGCATCTAACACATCGTGACACACATACATGTAACGTGCCACACGACACGCTCAGCAGGCACAGAAACCAACCCGTGAGGGACTTATGTGGTTCGCAAAACATACGCTGTGTGTTATTTGCACAAAAATACAATAAATGGAAAAAAGGTAACACTAGGCAAAGGCTACCAAGACAACAGTAGAAGCCACCAATCAAACTCAAAGACGACTGCATCAAAAAGAAAATGTTTTAAGGATGAAAGGCAATCTGCATTGCAGAAAAATCTTTCATCACAAAGCTTTGTCTCTACTTTTGGAAAAACATGTATTTGTATACACACTGTGTTTCCTAGTTTCTGACATTTGTATCAACCATACTCCTACTTCTGAAACCAGAAGGCATCCTAAGGGCTGAATGAATGTTTAACGTGGTTAAATTTCTTTTTCTCTCCAATGTGTTATTAAAGACACAGTTCATTTTACGGGGCACGTCCTGGCAGCAGTACACAGAGGAAAAAGAGAAAAAAGAAAAAGTTTCTCAAGTAGATTTTCATTTTGGTCCTTTTCTTTATTATCTCTACTTTCCAAACTATTGTTACAATCCAAAAAAACCTGCCAACTTTCTCTTCGGCCAGAAAACCCACTTCTGAGAGCTTTTATTTTTTTTCTCTCTATGAAAATAATGCCAAGGACACGATAGGTGACCCTGGATAAAGTCGGGGGAAATGTAGAACCAGCTCAAATCCAGAAAGTAGACCAGACTTCCTGGCCTGATGGAGGCTGGGGGAACGCCCAACACCACTGTCCTAAGTCACCCGTCGGGCACAGAACTGAAGCCACTCCTGGGGCCACCCAAGGAACAATGCCATGGTGAGGATGCGCATTATTCAATGGAAAAGGAGCTTGCTAGGTAAATTTTCACCTAATGCACAAAATGTTCAAAAAGAGAAAAGAACGTCATATATGGCGGAAGTTCTGCCCACAGGACACATTCACTGCTGTGGTTCATAACAGCAAATACGAACCAATTCACCGACAGGCCGCCAGCTCGATGGGGCGAAAACACAGACCACGGCCCTCCAATGGTAGGTTATTGGCTGTTTAAAAATATTTTAAAAAGAAAGTGTTTACAAAAAGCTCCTAAGATCTAAACACGCACGTGGTAGTATGACACTAGGTTTAAAAAGCTGGGGACAAAAGTATATTCCAAAAAAATTGTTAACAGCGGTTGCTCTCGGATTGATTGGTCAGACCTGATTTCCTTGAGTGTCCTTTTCATGGATAATTAATCTGTTCTCATCTAGGTCCTTGGCACATCCACCAAAGGCTGGGATTGTGTGGGCCTCTCGCCCTCCGAGGTCCCTGGGTGGCACAAAGGGTCTGTGCTTGATGCTAACCTGAAGCTGGTGGTTCACATCCACCCATGGCACTGTGAAGAAAAGCCTGATGTGGTGAGCTTCCACAAAGACGGCACCCAAGGGTACCGTGGAGCAGTTCCCCTCTCAGCCGCGGGGTCATCAGGAGTCACAGCCGACTTGAAGGCAACCAGTCAGGGGTTTTGTTTTTGGTCAGGTCCTCCAGCCCAATGGCTCCAGCTCTTCAAACACCAGGAAGTGGGAAGCCAGGGGCCGCAGCAGGAGATCCAAGCGGGGTCTCAGGGTGTCTAGTGGCGGTGATGGTGAAGTCACCAAGACCAAGGCGCCATCTTCAGCAAGACGCAGACAGGCAGTGTGGCCCAGTGGTTAGGCGCCAGGGGCCAGAGCTAAACTCCTGGAGTCCACAGCTCAGCTCTGAGCAATACTGGGTGCTACAGCCTTGGCAAGGCATTTCCCTCTCACGTGTCAGTGCAAAATGAGTTACCTATCTCCCGTGGTTTTATTACTATTATCATTATTATTTTAAACTGCAGTAAAATGCATATGTAACATAAAATTTCCCATCTTCACACTGAAAATGTCTGAGTGTAAAACTCGGTGGCATTAAGTACAATGACAACGTGGAACCGCCGCCACTCCTACCTATTTCCAGATCCTTCTGACCATCCCCAAAGACGCCCCATCTGTTCGCCAACAGCTCCCCTTCCCCTCTCCCCAGCCCTGAGTGACTTCCAATCTACTTCCTGTCTCCCTCACATGCCAGTCCCGGGTATCCTACATCAACGGGGTCACACAACATTTGCCCTTCTGTGCCTGGCTTCTTTCACTCAGCACCGTGTTTTCAAGGGTCACCCACACTGTAGCATGGACCAGAACCTCGTGTCTTCAGGGCTGGGTGATGTTCCTTTGTGTGGATGGACCACACCATGGGTCTCCATTCACCTGCTGATGGCCACTTGGGGTGCATGCCCCTCCTGGTGACTGTGAACAGCACTGCAGTGAACGCTGTGTGTGGGCATCTGACCGAGTCCTTGCTTTCTTCTGGGACTCCCATGGGGCAGCTGGTGGGGTCACCATCAGTGTTATCTTCATCTCTGTAGCACCTTCACCTCCAAGGCCTAGAAAACCTGAGAAGGCTTCGGCTACGAGGGACAAAGGTGTCAGCAGGTAACACAGAGATACACGCCTCAACCTCACCATCTCCGTTGTCCAGAGATCACTGCTTGAGTCTTATCTGTTTTGTGACTTTCCCACAAATATCACTGGTATTTCTTCTCCATTATGGTTAGGTTGTGTGTCAACTTGGCTGGGCCTGGTTTTGAGCAGCTGGGCGGCTGGAGATAGTGATTCTCCGTGATGAGACTGGTCATCAACTCCATGGTGCAATCTATGGGAGCAGCTGAGTAGCTGCCTTAGGGAATGTGGTCTACTTCCCGGATATGAGAAGACAGCTTTGAGAAAGGCCTCGGAGCCTTTTTGGCACGCTTGGATCCAACACGTAGCCGAGTCTTCGTTCAGTAGCCTGCCATGCTGTCTGCCCACCATGAGCCTGTTCCTGGACTCGCACTAGTGGCCTGCCACGGTGCTTGATACTTCGACTCTGCC